TGAATTGCAGGTGTGTGGAAGATAATTGCAAAAGCTGATGTGGCACAATTGAAAGTGTAAATGGATTGCAGGGATGTGGATGGTCTTAAAAGTATCTCATCGGCTACCTTAAAATCTAGAAAATAACAATTATTTAAAAAAAAAAAACTTTTATTTAATTCTAAAGTTGACTCCAGGTTAAAATTAAATCCCAGAGAAAATCCTTGAGTTACTTATGAGCTAAACCAAATTAAGGGGTGTTTGTTAATTACTAAATGATTTGGTATGATTAAGTGGTCAAAATGATTAAGAGGCTCTCATGATATAATGCAAAATGAAATATAATTGTTTGGTAATTGTGTATAATGAAATTATGGCTCTTAATAATCAAAGGAGATTCATGATACAAAATCATTCAGAGGGTTTTAAAACCATTAAGAAACAGACTTTTTTTTTCTCAAACAAGATTCAGCTCTTAACGATTTAGAGATTACCTCTTAATGGAATTATTAAGTGGTAAACAAACAACCCCTAAAAGTCTAAGAAACTTTCAAACCAAATCTCATACAAGGACCAATTTCAAAATAAGTGTTACTAAAACCTAACAAAAATCACTATCTCCAAAGTACGCAATACGTGGCAAATCATCCTCAAGCTTATTTAGTCAATGTCTCCATACCTATTTGACCAATTTGCTTTTTAATACATGGTTTTCGAGTACCCGTCCCCTTTGATGAATGTATCATGAAAAGTCACCTTTTTCTAGATTTTTGCGAATATGCATGGTTTCCCCTTTTTCTTTTATTACCAAAAAGGATAATTTAAAAAGATATTAAAAAATGCAAACTTCCTAGAAATTTATGATGATTATAAGAGTGAATTATCCATTTGGTATGATAGAATTAAATGAGTTAAGTATCGAATATTTTTGGTTAATTATATTATTAAATACCATAACTATATAAATTATTTTTAATATTCATATTTTATATTCTTACAGTTATTTATTTAATTTGTTTTATATACATTGCTTTTTCATTTTTCGTTGTATACCCTTATCATATTAACATACATAATTGTATATTAACAAAAATCCGTTAAAAATATGTTTTTATTTTGATAAGTTACGTCATCATAATCGCCTCGTCAATACATTCAAAATGAACTCAATATTGAATATCGTTTTATTTAATTATGGAACTGTAATTATATAAATATCATATGGGTATAAAATAAAAATAAAGAAATATAATAAATTTAAGATATAAAGTATAAATAGTGAAAAAATTCATATGCAAATATATAATTTGAAAAATACATATTTTTGATAAAAATATAGTAATCATATTTAAATATATTATTACTTATCTATACTATATTATAAAACATTTTGATAAAAATTTTGAAAAATACATATTTCAGATAAAAATATAGTAATCATATTTAAATATATTATTACTTATCTATACTATATTATAAAACATTTTGATAAAAATTCTTAAAAATACAACTTATTAAAGCTCTATATCTGAATTCGTGTAACTAACTGCAGATAGACATAATCAAATACAAGATAAACATCTCATTTTAGATATAAAAAATCTAAAATATAATTNTTTATTAATTAATAATAATATATAGTTAATTAATATATGTAATTATAAACAAGAAAAAGTCAATGATATAATAGAAAAATATTTAAAAAATTGAACGGTCAAAACTAAAAATATTATTGTTAAAATTGAAAAATAAAATAAACTTATTTTATTGTTAAAAGCAATGGCGCCGTCGTGGTGGTAGAACGTATTCGAATATTTTCTCATATATATAGTAACTACTTCTTAGACTAAAAACACAAACCATGGCTTCTTCACCAAGAGTTGTCCCTCTCTTATACTCCCTTCAGCTCCTCCTTTCTTCCGGCATTGCGGCCACCGGAATCACCTTCTTTCACCTCCAAACATTTTCCGTCACCGGCTTCAAGTTCTTGGGCAAGGCTCATGTTTTCAACAACAGTATCAGACTCACTCCAGATCTCCTTGTCCCCAACACCGGCGCCGGCAGGGTTCTGTACAACAAGCCCATCAGATTCCTGCAACCTGGGAACCCAACTCCGATGAGTTTCGCTACAACCTTTTCGTTTTCGATTGCCAATTTGAATCCCAACTCGATTGGAGGTGGTTTGGCTTTCGTCATATCGCCCGACGATGAAGCAATTGGTGACGCTGGTGGACATATGGGAATTCCAACCGGTGCGGTTGCTGTTGAGTTTGATACTTGTATGGACGTCGAGTTCGAAGATGTTAACGGGAACCATGTGGGATTGGATCTAGGCTCAATGGTTTCCTCTCATGTTGCCAATCTGCAGTCGGCCAATGTCAATTTACGAAGTGGTAAGCTGGTGAAATCATGGATTGATTATTCCGGTTCAACTAATCAACTCAACATCTATATCTCATACAGCAATACAAAACCCAAATCACCCGTCTTATCAATCACCGTAAATCTCAATGAATACGTGAAGGAGTTTATGTTTGTGGGGATGTCCGCATCAACACAGGGAAGCACTGAAATTCACTCACTTGAACAGTGGAGTTTCAACTCGTCTTTTGATTCAAAACCCGAACCAAATTCACCACCACCAACACCAACCACCGTAAACACTTCACAGCCATCAACAACTCCAACTGCCCATAAAACCCAAAAACAGAGCAAATCGGTTCATTGGAAATCCAAGAACCTTGTAAAGATAATTGCACCGTTGGGGGCGGTAGCAATAGCAGTAGTAGTAGCAGTTGGCTGGTACTGTAAATGCAAATGTTTTTGCTGTAACGTGAAAATTGCATCAATCAATTGTTGTATATGGAGCTGATTCCGAAGGTGGGAGTCAGATGATTCTTCCGATAGCCCAATCCAGAAGAATGCCGCCATGGTCTGAGTGTATGTGTACATAATTGTGTGATAGTTTTCTTTCTTCATTTTTTCATTTTCAAGGGTCGGGTATATTCAATAAAAAATGGTTTGTTAGGATAGGGATACAAACAGATTTATGTTTAAGACTTCTATTTATAAAATGGATTGTCACTTAATGACTACCAAAATTCCATTTCCATCAAAATTCTAACTTCTTTATGGATTAAGTTCTGGTGTTTGTTAAATCAACGAGTCTATTATCCAATTCCTAGGGACATACCTATTAAGCCCCAAACGGACTCCCATACACCACCTCAACTTATTTTCATAACTACAGTTTTTCTTTGGGTATGAAAAACGCACCTGCAAAACTTTGAAAGGTATTCTGAGATATTATAAGGCATTTGACAAAAACTTTTAAAAACCTTTTTTTATGCATGAAGTACTGTTTATTGATGCATATTACTTAAAATTCAAGATTACGCGTGATTTTGCGCAAGTACAACTTATTAAAGCTTTATTTTTAAATTCGTGTAACTAACTGCAGATAAACATAATCAAATACAGGATAAACATCTATTTTAAATATAGAAAATCTAAAATATAATTAAGACAATCATTGGGTTTCTAAACGAATGTTTAATTATTATCTTTAATAAAAATTATATTATTGAACCAAAAATAAATTATTTTGTTATTAGACCTTAATTAATTATAACAAAAACTTGAATTGAAGAATTTACACCAAAAAAACGAGAACTATTAAATAGTTAATTTAATACTAATATCGATTTTTTTTTATTTTTATGCTATCTTCAAATTTATATTTCATTCAAAAATAAAAACATTATCGCTTTCTCAAAAACCACATAAAATCGTATTATATCGATAGAGACAAATAATAAAAACTAAACATTAAAATGAAGATTTATCTCGCTGCATTGCGCGAGTACCCTTCTAGTTTTCATAAATACAATTTTTCTTTGGGTATGAAAAACGCACCTGCAAAACTTTGAAATGTACTATGAGATATTATAATATATACGAAACATCAACGAAAAACCCAAAAAAAGGTCTTGAAATCAATAAAAAAAAAACCTAAAAAGTTCATTGAAATCCACAAAAACTAGTCCTTTTAAATCAACCAAAAAACTTTTTAAAAGTACCTCGAAATGGTGGAGTTCAGCTAAAAATAACCAGTATTAAAGGTGCACCTGCTCGACAAAAAATTTAGATCCACCACTGGTTATTCACACATTAATATTCGTATTGGTTATCTCATACAACATTCACATGTTTCTTGTATGATAAAGATTTATTCTTGGGACTACTTTCTTTTAAGTAATTTGTGTATAATTGTCCAGTTAACCATACATACGAAAATCCAAACGGGAATAAATTGAACCAATGGACATTGGGGTGTGGTTATCAAAATCTGCTTTTTATTATTTGGGTTCTATACACCTCAATGAAAATCATCATTTAATTTTATAACTGATATGAATAATAAAGACCAACCAAGGGATCATTGATGGGGTTCAAATGGTTCTTTTGTCTCATGTAAATTGCCTACTACAAGAATTCAATTTTCAATGTCCTTCTTAGTTTAACATATATAAACAAAATACTAGTAACCTTTCATAGCAAAATCAAAACCTAAATCATTTAGACAATTTTAATCCATCCCTTCTGTCTTGAAACAACGTATTCTAACTTTTTATACTAGAAAAACGATTCTTTTGATTCCAAATCAACGATTTATTAATAAGCGAAGGTTATATTTTATGCATAATCATATGTAAATCAGATACCTAAATGCTTACGTTCGAATTATATTCCTTTTGTTTTAACATGGATCATACATATTTGTAACTTGTATATCTAAAAAAACATGTGATGTAATACATTGATTTTTTTTCTTCTAGAAAAGGGTAATTTAATAAGATGGTTATTTATGGTTATTTGATGTAATAAAGTATAAATAGGTACACGGCCCACGAAGGAACTAAGAATTTTCCAATTATGGGCTGTGCCGTTTTCTTGATGAAAAGTCGGTGGAAGATGCGATGCGATGCGATGCGATTGCGAATCCCGTGTCGTCAAAATATAACATACCCAAACCCTTCATATCAGCTTTCCCTAGTAATTCCTACTGCTATCTTTTGGCTTTGTTCTATTGTAGAAATAACTATCTTGTCTGAAAGATCAATAAAGTATTCTTTATTTATATATCAGCTTTGAATTTCGTCAATCTTTTTACATTTTCGTTTACTTCCGTTTGGATTTTGGGAGTAGACTTTCTTTGCAGTCTCTCTCTTGTGGGGTGTCCTGAAGATCATGGCTCTTCTGGGTTGAATGGTGCGTTTTCTCCACCTCTTGAGCTTCCAATTATGAAACAGACCTTCGTTTTTGAATTCAAATGTAGGGTTTTGTAGAATTCTTCGATTTAAATCCGTTTTAGTTCCTTATGATGAGTATGTTTTGTCTTTATTCTGTGCTTCATAGATGTTGGGTATGATTGGGTCAGATTCCTTTTAGCGATTTGATCCGTGTTACAGTTTTAGGGTTTGCTCATTCGATTGATTGATCGATTGTTGTTATTAGCATCAATTAGTTGGATTTTGCGAACTCTTCTTGTTATAGAGAGATTTTCAATTGACGACAAGTTTGGAAACAATTCTAAAGCTAAAATTTCATTTCTGTTGGGGGAAAATGTGTTTGATTAATTGGATTCGCATATTTTGTTTCTTTTGGGAGCTTTTCAATCAAGTTCCATTTGCGAATGCATTTTGACAGATGAAACTCGTTTTCATTTTGGGGAACAACTGTCTGGTCCTTCCCATTTCGGTCGGTAGAATTTATATACCAAACCTTCACAAATTTGAGTAGATCACGTCATAATACAACTCTAGAGTTATAGTCTAGTAAAGCTTCTGATTTTATAGAACTTGATTCCATCAAAAGCTACTAATTTCTGGTTTTCATTAAATGGGCATTTTGAGACATGAATCATTGATGTCCTTGATTGCCCCTTTGTAATTGATGACCTTTGTGGTAACTATATTACAGCCAAATCTGCAACGAGTATTGTAGATATGGATAGATAATCAACAAGAATCGAGGGAGGGTGTTTGTGTTTTTAAGTATCCTTCTCTCATGCTGCTGAAGGGTTGAACAATGGTCTTCTACAGCCGATGTTTTTCTATGCTATATTTATTACAACCTGATACAAGTGCCCGAGCAAACACTTCAGTTGATACCTTTCAGACCGCTAATTCAACTTTTGAGTTGAGAGGACGTGGGTCGACATCCAATCCTCAGAACGGCTCACATACGAGTCAAGAGTGCACAAGGAGGTCGGTTATCCCGAACTCTCTTAGAGAATTCAAACTTTCTGAGCTTAAAGAAGCCACTAAAGATTTCAATGAGTCTTGCAAGATCGGGGAGGGTGGATTTGGGAAAGTACATAAGGGCTCGGTCAAGAGCTTAGAAGATCCGTTTAAGGATATTGATGTGGCTGTGAAGCGAGGTAACAGAGGACAAAAGGCAAGTCTTTTGTAAACATTCCTTATAAATAAATATTTCAAGTTGTTGTGGCTTGATTATGGTTCAAAAAGTTTGTGCCAGAAAATTTGCAAAATTTGACCTTTCAAGTGTAGTTGTCGGATATTAGCTAAATGTCCAAAATACCCTTTTGCATATTCAGGTTGAAGTTATCTCGCCATCTTAAATAGAAGCTTATCTATGGTGACAGGGATACAGGCAATGGGAGACAGAAGTGAATGTTCTAGGGGATGTTAAGCTTCAACATCCAAACCTTGTGAAGCTAATTGGCTACTGTAATGAAGATCATGAGAATGAAAGCAACTGGCTTTTGGTGTATGAATATATGCCCAATGGAAGCGTAGATGATCATTTATCCGCTAAGTCAACTACACCACTCTCGTGGGTCAGGAGGCTAAAGATAGCGCGAGATGCCGCTACTGGTTTGGCATACCTACACGAGGGAATGGACAAGCAGGTGTTGAAATAATACCCTTGTCAAGTTTTCTGATGTTCGCTTTAATTCTATACTATAATAACATGATCTAACTTGCCGTTTAATCCCCTGCAGATCATCTTTAGAGATTTCAAACCACCCAATATTCTTCTAGACCGCGAATGGAATGCCAAGCTTTCGGACTTTGGATTTGCTAGGAATGGTCCTCAAGACGGATGGACACATGTCTCAACAGCGGTATGCGTACTTGAATTTCATCTATTTGCAATGCATCAGTGTTAATAAACAATATATATAGAGAGATTTCAAATTCAAACCCTTTAATTAGTAGAAACCATACAAACCAATGAAATGAGATACTTATGGAAATGATGAGAGTTTTTTTATTATGATTTGGATACTTATGGAAGGTTCATGCATTATGATTAACGCTTTAGATCATGAAACAATCTAGATATATATAAATCTAGATATAGTGTAGACTAGATGTATGGTTTAGATTGGTTTGTTTGGATTGTACTAATTATAGGGTTTGTATTTGAAACTCCCATCTCTCTCTCTCTATATATATATACATATATATATATATATATATATACACGGTTGGGTTCAGTGGGAAATGATAAAAAATGGAAAATCGAAGAACACCTTAATAACCATTCAATATATGCACATGTGCGTAAAAGTAATTTGCCTGGTATGTTCATGTGCATAAAATGCACATATACATAGAAACTCAAGAACACTTTCAATCACTCGAGAGACGGTATAATTACAAGAAAGAATGTTTTATTACATAAGATGTTATTTTTTATCATCAAAAGAAGATTGCTGGAAGAATAGAGATCCAGTCTTTCATTCGCAACAAGGTAGCCATCTGGAGAACAAGTAGACATCTGTGGCCTAAAACTACACGAGTGGATAGATTTACGAGAATCTGTTGCAAATGCATTTCCTCCCGCATTAAGACAGTAGGGGTCTGGAATCTCACCCTCAAACCTTTGAAATTGTAATGAGTTTGATGGTAATATGGTGGTATCTATAACTTTGCTCCAATTATAAACCCCAAGGGACTGGCCTAGTGGTCAATTCCCTGGACCTTGTGTCAAGTGTGGCATATGGTCTGAGGTTTGATTCTCAATAGGTGCCACCAGTTTTTTGAGTGCTATGCCTATTGACCTGAAGGCTTGAGTGGCTTGAGCGTTGCTTGGTTTATGTGGAGGGGGCCATTAACGCCGTGGATTAGTTGGCTGAAGGTGCTAGATACCACGATTACAAGAAAAAAAAATAACACATTTATACCCGATTCTATCCAATCTAATCCTTGCAATTGACGAATGGATTTCACAATTAACTACTGCTTGTAATCTAGGTTGTATGCATATTATGAATCTTTAGGCTGTATTTTTGACTCAGAACATAAGTAAACAAAATGTACAACACACACATCGGGAGAAAAATGATATTATTCTAGAATAATCTCAAAAGGTTACAAAAAAGAAGTCCTCTAAAACACATTTGGTACAAGGACCAAATTGTACGGGCGAGAGTGAGGTATGCGAGTCAATGGATTGTCGAAGGTTTTTGGGTTTTAATTTGACATGGGTAGTTCAGTAAATTACCTTTGCCTCATTTCCCTGATTGTTGTTCCACCTATTTTGGTGGGACAAAAAAGATTGCACTTGTCTAATGTCACGTTTGATGCGTGGACAGATTCTAAAAGACTGTCGTGTTCCACTTACCAAACACACCCTTGTAGGATGGGTCTATTTTTGCTAGGTTTGGTCAAAGATTTGACCAAAAAACTAGACTAAAACTGTGACTTGATGGTAGGACCTGTGACTCCTATAAGATCTGAAGTTTTGGCGTATTTGGTTTGGCCCGTTTTCCATAATGATTCGAAAAGAGTTTCATTTAACGTGAAATTATTCTCATGCGTTTCTGTGCTTCCATTTTTCCTTGCATGATTTCAAACTTTTTTTGGTAACTGTGGTGTCCGCGCGAGCTTGCCCACACCTTGACTATTCTTATGGACCCTGAAGATAACAGCTAGGAAAGTACCGACCCATAGGGAGGAGCCCAAAGACCTAGCCTTTATTTGTCCATATTTAGATCTTGCATATTCAACCAAGTCTTATATATGGATTTCTTTCCTATAGAATCTAAAATACTCGTTTGTTGTTCTTACTATTCTTGTAATGTGATGAACATATATTTAGGTAGTAGGAACAAAGGGATATGCAGCTCCAGAATATGTCCAAACTGGTCGTATGACATCCAAGATCGACGTATGGAGCTACGGTATCTTTCTCGAGGAGCTAATCACAGGTCAACGACCGGTTGCCCAAAACAATCCCGAGAAAAACCCTCAATTCTTGAGGTGGGTTTGCTGCTACGCAGGTGACGGAAATTCAAAGCTAAGCATCGACCCAAGGCTTGAAAATTATTCTGAGAAATCGATGGAAAAGGTAATTTTCATTGCCAAAATGTGCTTAGCCAAGGAACCAAAGTCGAGGCCAACGATGAGTGTGGTCCTGAAAATGGTGAACGAAGCCATTGCATTGGAGGATCAGCAACTTCAGGATGCCAGCAAATCTTGACGAGGACGACTCAGGTATACCTTTATATAAATGATCCCGAAAGAGTTATATTTCAAAGACTCCGGTATGTTGTTTTTTCCCGCTATGTCGTGTCGACTATTTTTTTATCGTGTATATATAGAAATGGAATGTTGGTAGACATGTTTTGCCAATTTGGATAAAGATTATGAATTGAGTTAAGTTTGAATTGTTATTAACTATCAAGAGTCAAACCATAGATCTAAAGTTTGACTTTATATCTTAATTTCAATTAAAACTGCTCAAAGATTGGTTTCCCGTTGTTTAATTTATATTAAATCCTACAAACCGCTTTGTTTTGTTTTGTTTTGCTTGGATTAAGAAACACATGGTTTCTTACCTATTTGCAAAATATTACAAAAAGACCGTAAAAATTTAGCCATTTATTTAATATTCGATAATCCAACGTTTTCCCATTTTGTTTGATATAAAATATATATTAATATTAAAGAATTAAAAATTAATGAGTATAGTAAGTTGGACATAAAAAAAGGAATGATAATATCCATTAATTTCCTAGAAAATACCAAGAAGAAGGGGGACAAGCAATAAAGCCCTGAGTCGCTTAGTTGACCTGCTTTTGTATTGTATTGTATTAATTTGTTAGAAATGGAATTCAAAGGTAAGAAAACGACTTCGATCTTATCCCTATTTGCTACATTCTCAAATTGAATTCAAAATATACAGGTTTATTTTTTATATAAAATTAATCTATAATTTACTAAATATCTAAAATGCTCTAAATTTTAATAAAACCTTATAATATTTTTTATTAAAAACAAAATAAAATTGAAGTCTTGAAGAGTAGTGATATTTTGAGCTACCCATTCCGTAGTTGGCTTTGGTTGACTTGACCTGACCCTACTCCCAAATTTCATGTTTCTTTCCAAACCCTTTTCACACTATTGTATTGTTTCTTGATTAAAAAGAAGAGTAGATTTCGCTTTTCATTACCAACGTTTGATGAATATCGTCACTGAATTTTGAAAATTCAAATTTGGTTGTTTACGTTTATCAACTTATAGCGTTCTTCTTACTAATGGCTGTTAAAGCTTTTTGTAAAATCCAAGAGTATTTTGATAAATGTATTCTTTTCTTTATTTTTTATTAAATATTAAAAAATATATATTGAATTTAATGTATATATACACACAACCTATTGTGTATGTATATGTATATATTGAAGTGATTGAAAAGATGGATTAATGTCTAAGGGATGGGAACGGAGCCAGGATATCAATTTCCATCCCCATTTCCGGTCCCAATCTTTCATTCCGTCCCCATCTTTATTTCTGTCAAAAAAATATGAAGACATCCTCATCCGTGTTTTCAAACAGGAATGTGTATTTCCAATGGGGAATTGGAGATTTTTTCCCCGTTAATGTAAGATATTGTAAATTAAATGTGTTAAACACCATACTCGATCAATAATGGTCTATGTTCAAAACTCACATATTTCAAAATTTGCTTTTATAAAGTATCAAATATTCATATATGAATAAGATCACATCACATACTTAATTGTTTGATTTTGACTTTCAAAGTATTTTTATATAAAAAAATAAGATAACTCAGAAAAAATGTATATAAAATAAATGTCAAAATACTATTTTTAAATCTAAATATAGTAAAATCTAATTCTTTATAAATAATATATTTAATATATATAATATACTTAATATTCAGAAACAAGACGAAGCGGGAATCACGTTACCCACAGAGGAAGAGACTAAATCGGTTGTTCATCGTCGTAGGACTCCGCCGTCCCAACACACCCCTTGTTCCCGTCAAGGCCATATTTCCCCCAACTTAAAAAACGTGATGCATATCTGAATGGTTGGATCTCAAAAGTAGATGCAGGAGTGGACGTGGGTATTTTTGTTTGATTTAGGTCGTATATTTAAGTTTGATTTAGCTTCAGACTGTGTTTTTTTGTTCAGGCTTACGTATCTTCATCATATCCTTACCTATTTTTAAAAAAAAATTGTAATGGAAAAATCAAGAAAAAGGTAAAATTGATCAAAGTATCCTCATTTAAATTAGATTTAACAAAGAAAATTAACAGCTGTTAGACTGAGAGACGAAAAAGGTTGTAAAATGACAAACATGAAGGATCAAATCCGAGTTTTGTAAAGGATATATATTGAAATTGATATACATTAGGGATTAAAAAAAGCCTATTTTTTAGCTTTATAATATCCATAAAAGCTTGTACGGAGAGAATTCCAAATTCTGCTTAGTTATGCATGAGCAGGAGGATGACCTACAAAATCTATGAACAAATAGTATTTAAACTATACTTTTGTCATGTCTAAATTAACGAATAAATAGTTACGAGTCTTGAAATATAATATATATATATATATATATATATATATATATATATATTGGTTGTTTGGTGTATTCATGAAGTAATTGCAAGTCATTTTGTATACTGGATATTGAAAAGTAAATGTTAAGTAGTTCAATATTTTGGCCTCTTTAATCCCTTTGCTTGTTTTGACTTCTCTTCATTTCCAGCTACCATTTTCATACTACTCTCTCTCTCTCTCTCTCTCTCTCTCTCTCTCTCATCTCCTTCTCTTGCTCTTTAAGTTTCTTTTTTCCAAAGATTTTGATTCGAGGACACTTGTGAGAAGATGATCATCTTTGGAAGCTTGAGCTGATTCGGGTGTGTGTTTTTCTTCAATTTCTGACATAATTTTGGGACTTGTTATCGTTTCTGATGTTAAATTCTTGATTATGTGGTGTTATTTTGCAGATATTATTCCACTTTCTGATAACATACTTCTGGGGTGCTCATCTTTTGCAATTCCATTGAATTTTGATCTGATTCCAGGTGAGTTTCTTCTGTTCTGTAACATAATTTCTCATCGCTTGATTCTTGCTTCTTCAATTTCTGTATAAAATTTAAGTTTTTATGATGGTAGATTATGCTAATTAAATTCTTGATGATAATATGTTGTTATTCTTCAATCATTACTATCTTGAAATCTTTCCGAAAAGGGAAAGTTTTAAAAGCAAATCCAATCCATTTCATGTAGCCAATTGTTTATCACACCCACAAGATGAATTGAACCTGCCCCTGTTTACCCCTCTGTACAGTATATACTCTAAACTTGACAAATGCTGACTATAATCTATTTTTTTACAGCTGAAACAACAAATCTTGGGAGGCTATGAGGTGTTTTCAATTCTCTTACTGTGAAAAGAAGGACGAAGGGACAAAAACTCCAACAAAATCACTATCAGTTCAGTCTTTTACTTCTATATTTACAGATCGACGATCATGGACAGGATTCAATTCTCAAATTATGTCTGATGCTAGCACAGAGTCGGTTGGACGCCCTAATCTTCCTAGTTTTTCACAGAGACCATCTAATCTTAGAGTCTTCACTTTTGCTGAGCTCAAGTCAGCCACCAATGGCTTTAGCCGCTCTGCAAAGATCGGAGAGGGCGGGTTCGGGTGCGTCTTCATGGGCTCAATCAAGTCCCCTCAAGATCCATCTCAAAAGCTTCATGTGGCTGTCAAGCAACTTGGCAGCCGCGGCTTACAGGCAAGCTTCTCTCTCCATAGGTTTGGGTTTCAGCCCTTTTCATAAAAATGTTTGCCGTGACACCTGTGAAGAGACCCTTATATTTTATTATGGATCTCTGTTTAAACTTTTGGTCGAACAGGGGCACAAGGAGTGGGTGACAGAGGTTAATGTTCTTGGGGTGGTTGAGCATCCAAATCTAGTCAAGTTAGTCGGCCACTGTGCAGAAGATGATGAAAGAGGCATCCAACGGCTTCTGGTTTATGAATATATGCCTAACGGAAGTGTTGAAGATCACTTATCGGCTAGGACCAAGGCACCACTTTCGTGGACCATGAGACTTAAAGTGGCTCAAGACGCCGCTCGTGGCTTGGCATACCTACATGAGGAAATGGGCTTTCAGGTATTTTAATATTTTTATCTCGAATAATATTTTTACGATTATATATATATATTCTCTTGACTAATAACTTTTCCATCTGTAGATCATCTTTAGAGACTTCAAATCTTCCAACATCCTTCTAGATGGTCGATGGAATGCCAAGCTTTCTGATTTTGGATTGGCTAGGTTAGGTCCTCAAGAAGGACTAACCCATGTCTCCACCGCGGTCTGTACCTACATTTGATACTGTTTTTTAGAGTTTTCGTATCACCTTCATGTCACACTATATGACATGTTATATGATCAGGTTGTAGGAACCATGGGATACGCGGCGCCAGAGTACATCCAAACAGGACGTCTGAGATCCCAGAGTGACGTTTGGAGCTACGGTGTCTTTTTGTATGAACTCATCACGGGTAGGCGCCCATTGGACCGTAACCGTCCCAAGAACGAGCAGAAGCTTCTAGAATGGGTGAAACCCTACCTCGACTCGAGAAAATTTCGGCTAATAGTAGATTCAAGGCTACAAGGCAAGTACCCACTCAAAACAGCACAGAAGTTGTCCATCATAGCCAACAAGTGCTTGTGTAAGAACCCAAAATCAAGGCCAAAGATGAGTGAGGTCCTTGAAATGGTTAACCAACTGATTGGGGTTGGATCAGAAGGAACCAGTCCTAGACCACCACCAATGGGTCCAGTCCTAGTGGCTCGTTCGGTTAAGCCCATTGAGCCTGAGAAAGTTTTCGTAGGGTCTGCTGAGGAGAAAAAGACATCTGACTCTGAGGACATGCCAAGTAAAGGGAAGAGAAGGTTCATTGCTATCAAATTTGGAGACTCGGTTTGGCTTTCGCGAATATGGCCTTCGAAGCTCTTGAAAACTTGATGATTTGAAGGATTAAAGTATATATCATAGAGGTAGCCAAGGCATGCCATGGAGCATGTTGGCAAATGACATTTCTACCCCTGTCGTCTATGAATCACTTGCTGCAGGAAAGATGTCGACGGGGTGAGAGGTGAAGGGCTATATAGTAATTGTACTACTGTTGGAGTAAGTGAGAATGGTAAGGTGAAAAAAGTTTTCTACATAGAATCATTTACAAACATGATAAATTGTATAAATTTACGAATCAGTTTTCATATATGAAAGATATGTGAAAATGCAGTATTTATACTGCACATGAAAACTGATTTATAAGTTTATATAAATTATTGGGTTTGTAAAAGAAGATACTATACGCTAAGTATGTGTGTGTGTATATATACGTGGGGAAATTTGGGGAGCAACCGACAATGATTGGAAAGTTATTGTGTTTTTTGTTGAATATTTGATATTTATTGAATATGTTATTTGTTTGCGAATATTACAACGAGTGTGAAGTCAATGCAATTAAAGTTGTACATGAATACTGAAATACATCTCATCTTGCATTTCAGGCTCATTAATCATATAATTAAAAATAGTCTAAATGGTAAAAGAAATAAACTTCAAACTAAATTCGGAGTATAAGTTGTGATGTGTCCAACTTATTTATTAATATTGTCAATTGTTATAATGAATCAAACTCAAAGTCCAAAAATACTACATAAATAATAAATTATTATATATATAGGGGCTTAATCAAATGAGAACTAATTAGTTTGTGGTAACTGTGAGGTCCAATCTCAACTACAAATCAACGGATAAATTAGGAAATTAATAATTATGATAGTTTGAGTTAAAAATTTTATGATTTGATATAGGGTACCAGAGAAATCTTGATTTGAATCGTCATTTTTTTTTTTTTATAATTAGATGACATATTAGGTATTTTTTAAAAACCTCTCTCTCCTCTGAACATTTATAATCATAAAATTACCACGAGACTTCTCAATAATCACTAAATCGTCACCGTGCAACTTTAAACCATCAGATCATTAGTTTATAAAGTTGATCAATGAACATAAATTGGTCTTACAGGTCTCACGAAAAATCTTTGGTCTCACGTGAACACAACCATATATATATATATATATAGGGGTCGATTCAAGCGAGAACTGATTAGTTGGTGGTAACTGTGAAATCCAATCTCAACCACAAATCAACGGATAAATTAGAAAATTAATAATTATGGTCGTTTGAGTTAAAATTATAATTAGAGGACATTTTAGGTATTTTTAAAAAACTCTTCTCTCCTCTCTCCGAGCTCCAATCTTCGGCCTCCGGTGAACATTAATTCGGCAAGTACCAAGTAATCACAAAAATATACAATGTGATACTCATTGTGATATACTCTGATACCATTGTGATACCAACTCAAACCTTAAAAACAAAGATACACAATGTGATACCCATTGTAATACACAATGTGATACCATTGTGATACCGATTTCACCGGAGGTCGGAGATTGGAGGTCGGAGAGATGAGAGAGGAGAGAAAAGTTTTTTTTTTAAAAATACCTAATATGTCCTCTAATTATAATTTTAACTCAAACTACCATAATTATTAATTTTTTAATTTATCCGTTGATTTGTGGTTGAGATTGGACCTCACAGTTACCACAAACTAATCAATTCTCATTTGATTAGGCCCATATATATATATATATATATATATATAATAAAGATCAAAATGGAATGAGTTATTACGATAAAATAAAATAAAAAGTTTTTGTCGATTAATATGTTGAGAAAACCTGTTTTCATTTTGTTGAGTTCCATTAAATTGGAAAAAAAAATTGTTTTTCTTTGTTCTATCATGAAACGAAATTAAAATTATAATATAATTTATTTTTCGTCAACGACATGGTTCGCGTTCTTGATTATTTAAAATTTTAATCAAATTAATTTCTAGTTTAAGCAAGACCCTTTGGAGTTAATCCTTATAAGCTACAAGACATAAAAATAGACCAATAACTTATTGAAGTTTGTTCGGTCTAAAAACTGATGGATTATCTTTTATATAAAGGACTCTAAAATTATCTGTTTTAAACATGATTAATAGACACTAAAGATTATACCTTGAAGAATGAACGACTAAAGTGTTTTCCTAAAAACTAGAAAGCAGCGATTTCAAGTCTTAACGGATTCCAAAATGCACACACACTTCCTTATTTCTCGGGTAATTTGGGGGCGGGGGGCGAAATCTGACTAAAGGAAGATAGCACACCATAAAGAGATAAAAATAAAATTAAGACTTTAGCAAGTGGGCGTTAATGACAAGTAACAAAAAGAAAACAAAAGGAAAATTTTGTTTACTCATGCAATGTAAATGAATGACAATTTTGAATTTTCTTATAATTTGAGAATGAAAAACAAATGCAATTTTTCACTAAAAAAATCCAAGATTTATGGCGTATTTTGTGCTATTTACAGAACTCAACGTTTATCATGTGTTTGAATATGTTTATCAATTGGTTTTTTATTAGTTTATTGAGGTCAAACATAGAGCTTTAAGAAATTGGGTATATTTATTAGGAAGTTATATTGGGAGACCTTAAAAACATAGGTAAATACAAGAAGATGCAATATATATTGCAAATCGGGAATAGAAAATTAATGCAAATTCTTATGTAAAAAATCCAAAACTTATTTTTGATTAAAATAAAAATTACAAGTGGTGGTTGAATATGTGTTGCTAATTTGAAAACCCGATAAAAAAAATACCCATTTTTGATTAAAATAATAATTACAAGAAGTGGTTGAACATATTTTGTTAATTTGAAAATCTAGTTAAAAATATATATATATATATATATATATATATATATATATATATATAAATATATTTGAATAAAAAAATTACAAATGGTGGTTGAATTAATAAACATGTGATTAAATAAAAAAGACTTGGGATTATATGATGCAAAGACTCTTCTTTTCACATACATATAATTGAATCATTAGAATATAACATTGTGAAGGTAAATCTTCGGTGTCTTTTTGTAAAGTTTTTTTTTTGTATCTTCACAATATTTCCCTGGAAAGATCGACTGTTATTGTGTGACCTTAATTTTTATTTCTAATTTAAATATTTTAAATCTAAATGAAAATATGATTTATTTTGATTTTAATGATGAAATATTATTTATGAGTAAAATAATGGTAGCTTAATACTTATTTTATGCTTCGATGTGTCCATCTGTTAATTAATAAATTATTAATTAGTTTATTAAAGTTTAAATAATTTTAAGAAATTAAAATTATATAACTAGGGGGCGTTTAGTTCGTATAATAAAATTCGATGGAATTGGAATTCATCAAATGAATTTGACTTTGAGGAATGAAATACAATATGATGGAATTTGACCATGTTTTTTTATTGCGTTTGGTTGGATGAAATTGGAATAGAATTCTTAACAGAATTGGATTTTTTTTTTGTTTCGTTCATGGAATTCAACGAGAAAATTACATAGATGACATTCAAGAAAATCCTTTTTAGGATGGAAAGAACGAGAGAGAGAGAGAGAGAGAGAGAGAGAGAGAGAGAGAGAGAGAGAGAGAATACCAGATTGAGTAGAGTGAATGAGACCGAGCAGTTTTGAATAGGGATGACAAAAAAAAACGAAACCGATGGTGAAAACCGAAAATCAAAACTTTCGGGCTGGGTTTGGGGACATCTTATCGGGGACGGGGCGGGGATTGGGGACAAATTCGGGGATTTTAACGGGGACGGTGATCATCGGCCCGGCCCAGCTCGGTCTGATATGTGTATATATATTAATTTTAATTTATATACATACATATATATATATATATATATATATATATATAATATCATTAAAAGAAAATAGTAACATTAAAATTTAAAAAACTTTTATCCACTTTACTTCAATAACCCAAATAAGGCTCACGAAAAAGTATAGTTTATTTGTCTAATTATGAAATCGTGATTTTAGTTTATGATGTTTGAAGTTCTGTTTAGTTTTATATTGTTTGTTTGTAATTGGTTCGATTATGTTTGAGACATTTAAACTTAATTTACTTTTAGTTGTGAAAATTAACATATTGTAATTTTTTTAGATCTGTGTCGGGTTTCGATTTCGGTTATAACCAACGGTGAACGGGAAAAATAGAATTTTTACCTTAACGGGTTCCCCAACGAGAATCGGGGAAACCGCGGGGACCCGATGGGGATCTCCGATAAGATCTCCGATGGGGATCGAGGGGTCATGGGGACGGGTTGAGTTATCGGTTTCGGGGACGGGGATACCAATAACCGGACCGAACCTGGCTCGTTGCCATTCTTAGTTTTAAACGAGATCGAGCATTGCAGAGCAGAGCAAATCGAGATACAACGTCGATGAATTTGGATGAGGGCTAAGGAATTTGTCGGATTAGAATTTGAAATTATGCGGTGAAATTATGAAATCAATGACTTAAAGAATTTATTGGAATTGGAATGATTACTTCACATCTATTACATGAACTAAATATAGTATTTAAAATTTAATCAAAGATTTAGACATTCTAATTTATTTCAATTCTACCAAATTCTGTAAACCAAACATCCTTATATTATGAGAAATTAATATTAGCACTTTTACAACTTTTTATGATAAAATAATAATAACCGACATATTATGTTATTCCTGGTCCGACGATATCTTGAGAAAGATAAGAGTGACAACACGTGTCTTAATCAGATACAATTATATCCATAAATATTATAACGTTAAGGATCCCTTTAAAACTTGACGCGTGGAATTTTGATATTGTACATCGGGATGAGTTATTGGGTTCCCATCGATATTTATTTCCCGATAAACCACCACGTTAAGACAACGACTAGTCAAATGACGATAATACCCTCTCACCGCCTCCATATCCACGCTATAGGTATAAAGTATAAAGCTTTTTCCTAACAAGACCAACAAAAATATACACGTCAAAGAAAGAAGATGCATAGACCAGGATACCACCATCCACCACCGCCACCACCACCCCACCACCACCATCCCCACCCTCCTCCTCCTATTCACCATCACCACCCTCCACCACCGCCTCCTGTTCATCATCACCACCACCCTCCACCACCGCCACCTCCTTTTCATCACCACCATCCACCACCTCCTCCAATCCATCATCACCACCCACCTCCTCCTCCTCCGATTCACCACCATCCTCCACCACCACCGCCACCACATCCACACCACCACCACCGTTTTTGAAGGATGTAATATTAGGCAGCAGCTGGAGGTACTTATATATGGTTTGTAACATGTATGTCTCCCACGAGGGATTTAAATAAGGTTTGAATTTTATGGTGATCCAATTCATAATATATTTCATTTTATTTGTCGGCGTTGCTAATTTTCGATTTCCCAAGACATGTAATATGTATAGAAATAGTTTCAAGTTATGATCATGTAACACTATATATAA